TGTTCCGATTTTCAATGGATGTTTATAGCTGTTTCTCTTCAATTTGAGTTGGGTCCCTACAGCAAATGAAGGTCCTGCGGGCTTTTCTCCCATGAGCTTTACTCCATTCATGGCATCATGATCAACTCTACTTTGAGGAGGCAGCTCTTCTCCATTCGCATTTTGAGTACCTTCCAACCGGAGGGGCTCATTTTCTGGCACTATATCTGACAGTGCTTCTCTGCTCTTCATAAGGTTTTCAGTGACTTAATATTCAGAAGTAGTTTGTCACTCCTTGTTCCTAGTCTGCGTCTGGAAGCTCATCTGAAACTTGTCCACCATGGGTGACTGCTGGTATTTAAAATAGCGGTGGCTTAGCTTCCAGAATCACAGCAATTCACAAGCCACTGCAGCATGACAAACTGACAGACGAATGTTGGAATTCAATTGTGAATGATAGCATCACTAATTTGATTTTTCACTTTCATGTTGTTTAATAAGCTTTTGTTTCACTTTCAGGTTGATATTTCTTCTTTGCCTTTTGCTGCTGCTGTCATCAGCACTGATTTTGCTGCATTTGGACACCATGATATGCTTCACAGTAATATTTTCAAAAGAAAATTAGATCGCATGATAGCATTCTAGTTACCCAATATACAAATTCACAAATTGAATGCTGTTGCTTATGAGTGAAAGCATATGTCATTATATAATAAACATTTTAGATAGAAAATAAGTACCGTACATACAAAAGCTAGTAACACATTCACTGTGACTATTATAGGCTATAGACATACTGTAGGCCTGGCAGCACAACTGCTTTGTATACCTGTAGGAAGCTGTTATGTTCCTTACATCTTGTTCTCTGATCGGGATTTCCATAGTATAACATTATGGGATCAGGACAGTGCCTGCATCAATGGTGCATGGTCTATGACTGAATTGAAGTCAAATGTGTAATGAAAATGTTTCCATAGCAGAGAGACTGCAGTGCAGGCAGGACTCAGAGTGAAACCACTGGTACCATTCACTCTGTTTATTCTGAAGAGATTAAGGAAGATGACCCATTGCCTGGATGAAAGGGTAGAGAGAGATATTGTTTAGTGGCTAAAGCTCAAAGCCTGCCTGAGATAGTCTTTTTTTTTTTTATTAAATGTTTTTATTTTGGATAGAGTGAAAGTTTACAGGGCACATCATCAGCTTCACATTCAACCATTCATATAGCTTGTTTCATTACATTGATTATTATCCCCTCCATATATCATCAGTTAACAGTGTTTCTCTCTATCCTCTTTAGTTTTTTTTGTTTTTTGTTTTTTTTTGGGTGGGGGGAACTTGCCTTTTTGGAATTTACAGTCTCGGCTTTTAGGGAAGGTGTTTACATTTGGCTGTGGATGCTGAGATAGTCTTTTGACCTCTAGATGCTTGTTGCTGGAGGAAACTTTTTCAAAGCCCATCTGCCTGGCTTTTGGCCTTTCTTTTGA